AAATCTGGACTCTGACCTACTGAGAAAACAAGAATCAAATTCTAGCAGCTCTGAGGCTGCACTGTGCTTTACATCTAAATTATTATTATGCAATGTATTAAGCACTTTTGATGCCCTGCAGCAGGGCAACAAGTCATAAAGAACTATCTTCAGCAGCAATAAGAACAAACAAACCAAATATTGATTTTTGTTTACTGCATTTTGTATGAAGTTCACTGATTAATAATAATAATTTAAAAAAAAACATTCATGGTTTTTTTTTTTTGAAAGCTTCCTCACCTTTACTCTTAATGTCTGTAACTGCGCCTAGTGCCTTAATACTGTTAGCTGAGACAGCATGTCTGGTGATGTCTCCTGCTGTGGTTAGCTAGTTCCTGTCTTGTAATGTGAACATATACGCATACACAGATGTGAGGTGATGGCAGAGACACAGTGGCAGCCTTCTGTCAGCTGGAGATACGCTGGTACTCCTGGTTACGTTCTTCACCTGACGTTTGGAAGAGAAGAAGAAGAGGACGCGAGGTGACGGCGATGGCCACGATGAAGGTTTACCTGCTGATGTGGGCTCTCGGTGAGTGTCTGTGGTTTACTGCGTTTGGTTTGAAATGGCATCCTGACGGAGGGTATCTCTACCACATTATAACCTAGGTTTCAGCCAAGTCACGCCATCAATCTAGTGCTTTTTAACTGATCAGCACAACTTCATACAGAACAATAACCAAAGCCAAATACAGTCAAGAAACGGATGAATATTTGAGCATGAATTGATAGTTTTTCTCACGTTCTCCTCTCTTCATTGATTCACCATTATTTCTATCTGCTTCTGCATGAATGACAAACAATTGAACATATTTTAAAATCAATTTGGTGAATCCTCTTCAGCTTTTTCACTAACATTAATTTCCAAACAGCACAGAAAACATGTTGAAGGTAACCCGTCACTGTGAATGAGAGGCTGCAGAAGAATTAGACTTTTGCACTATTGATAGAAATATGGATAAAGCAAACTGAAGCTAATATCTCATCTTTTCATCATCTTCTTCATTCAAATGTTGTCAGTTCCCCTAATGGAACAAACCCTAACTTGGGTTTTGCACATGCAAGCCCCATGTCTTCATCTAATCTTACTCTGGTGGCGAGCAACTTCCCTTCTGTTTGCATGCTGTCTGAACTGTCCAGTATTTAAAAAAGGGTTCACATAACACCTCACATCACACACACCACAGCCACAGAAAAGAGTAGATTCTGCTTCACTATCGTACAGGAAACCTCAGACATTCAGAAGTTCTGTCAGCAGCTGAACCACTGGTCAAAATCCGCGAGTCACAAAACCACCTTTGCAAAATATCTTGACAGTGCTGCGGATAGGAAGGCTAAACACTCAGTACCTCACACTTACTACACAGTGTGTGAACTGCTTCCGTCTGGCCATCGATTCAGGGCCTCAAGGGCCAGCTGGAACATAAACAGCAAGTCTTTTCCCTTTCACTACAACATGTGTTCTCTGGTATTTATAATCTATCCCTTATGTAGGAAATATGGGAAAGAGAAATCTCTCCAAGTAAAGAGTCACAGTGCATGAGGGAGTGACTCGCATAACGAGCTTTGAAAGATTAACTGCAATATGACAGAATAATTTCTGCTAATACTGGATATGAACCGTTTGGCTGCACAGAATCATTATTATCATATTATCATTTTTACACTTGTCACTGATCATCACTTTGTTGTTTTCTAATTTCCAGGACTTTAAATTAAACTGCTCACATCTTATAGATATTCACCCTGTGACAGGGATCATGCTGCTTTGTATTAAGGCGTCACATCACGTTCTGTCTTTTTTTCCATGTAGCTGCTACAATCATTTTATCGAGAGGATACGCTGGTGACGATGATGAAATGGATGATGAAAATTCTTCACCATCTGGCAGTGGTGAATCAGCTGAAAACAGCCAGTTCTCCATTCCCTCCACAGGTAACCTCAACCTTCAGCTCTCTCATGTTCATGTTTTATCTCGTGGGTAAAAAGATGGACGACATAGAACAAAACTTTTCACAGTCTCTAATATTAAATCAATCAATTGACCATTAGTCTTGCACGAGCAGCAATTGTCCTGTCATAGATTAGGAACCGTAGCTAGGCACGGTGAGCAGTGGATTCATTCTGTTTACAATGATTACAACAAAATACGGGAAAGAAAATGCAATTAATAAAACAACACAACTCTGATAGCCTTTTTATTAACACTGACTATCATCTTTCTCGAACCTTGACCTAGTGATTTACAGGCCTAACCTTAACCATACCTCATTGCTTAATTGGCACAATCACCGAACATGAACATGGCCATATACCGATGCCATAGTTTCCACAGAAAGTGGGAATTAACAAAGAAAAGGTTGGCAACAAGCCCTGCAAGAGGACAAACCTCGCTGTGACACCATGGTAAAATGTTCTGTTAACTCCCATGTTGCTGCATTTTAATGGACGACCTGTTCTCTCTCTCCCTACAGCCGACACCACCAGTGACCCCATCTCCTCCTCCACAGCTAACCTAACCCGCCCCTGCCTGATCTATGTTCTCCTTGTTTTGTGCATGCTAGCATTTTGAAGAGCATTTTATATCGCATATGTTGTGATGACCTTTTGTTGAACTGTGTAATCGTAAATACACTGCAATCTTTCATATTCTGAAGTTTATTTGTGGTGTTTCTGTTTGCAGATATGACTCTTCATCTCTAAATTAGCCTCTGATAAGAAAATGCAAAGGGAAGTCACTCTGTAACCGCAAATTTAAGTACCTCTCTCTCTGAGGACCTCAGAACTGTTCTGTTCCTATGAATTTAAGTAAAACTTGCTGAGTTGATCAGACAGAGTTAATCAAATGGTTCTGTGAATTGGTGATTAGCAGATTAAGAAGATCTTACATCATCACTGTTGTTGAGTAGAAATCTATTTTACCTTGATAGTACAATACATTTTTGATGTTATCTGAATGTAGTAAAGCCTTTAAAACTGGATCCACACTCCTCGTTCCAGTTATTTCCAGATGTATTTAAATTAACTACATTACCTTTCTCTATGGTACTTGCTCCAAGACTTGTCCAGTAAACCTGTCTCCTACCAAGTATTCTTCCCTGCTAGCTCCTCCAAATGGACTCCCCAACTGACTCACAGCTTAAGTCCATCGTCCTACTACGAGAGGGGTCAAGGTTCAAGGCCTTGCCTTGCACATGGCTAGCTAGTACCAGTCCACTGCTACCTGCTAACCTGCTCAAGTAAATCAACAATATATAGAGTCAACAAACCGCAGTCTGAGGAGATTTGGAAATTAGTTAGCACGTCGGTTTCTTGCCGTCTTTGAAAGGAAATTGTTACAAATACCAAAACAGTCGCTGCGAGTAGCTACCAGTAGTTCCTCCCTCATGACTACGATTGGTCCAAACAACTTATAGACAACGGGTTTTATTCATTAATTGACAGCGATGATTTAGAACTACTCATACCTGAAAATTTAGATAACGATGACCTGTCCTCTCTCTCGTCCTCAGGTAACCCCAGCCTGTACTACAGCGTGCTACAGTGCAGGGAGTGGGGGGAAAAATACATTTAGGTGTTCAGATTTTACATGTATATATAACTTATAAAATAAGATTTAAACTATTAAACTGTTGAACAGTAAACAGGGGCTATTGTGCCAAATATGTACTTTTATCTTTGGTGTTTTATTTACACTTTTCTGATAATGCTAAAATCTTCAACAAGTAAATTGCACCAAAATAATAAGTTTTAGATAATTTTCTTAAACTTGTAGCAAAGCACGAAAGTCTTCAAAAATACATACTGTAAAAATGATAAATTAAGCACCAAAAGCTGGTCTTCAAGAGCTTTTTAGAATATGTCTATCATTTTGTAGTTTTAAAATGAAGTTGAAGGGCCTTCATGTTGTCATTAAAGATCTTAAGTGCTGTATGCAGTGGCTTCAAACATGACAAAGTGAGAATTAGAACGAGACAGGTCCTAGCTGCTGAGGTATAGAGTCACAAACTAAGCTAGCATCCTGTGCTGATCTGAGCTAGAGCTGCGGTTGATGACTCAGTTCCTGATTTCTGACTGATACTGAGAGAGATTTAGAGGGTAGAGAGACAGAGAGAGTGAAGTGTAGAGAGAGAGAGACCGTGGGGGTCGAGATGTTGAGAAATAGTGGGGTGAGACAGGGAAAGTACTGTCGGGGGTGGAAAGAGTTACAAAAACTATTACTACATTATTCTGCAGCTATAAACTTCCCTCTGGTAGATTGTAGAACCAGGATGCAGGGGTTTAGTCCCACGACCAAATGTTTTGGATGGGGTTGAGGTTGGAGCTCTTTGCAGGCCGGTCGAGTTCCTCCACTGGGAAAACGTCTCCTAGCTTTGTACCCAGAAGCGCTAATGTGATGAAACAGAGTAGGGGCTTTCCCAAACTGCTGCTACAAACTTGAAAGATCACTACAAATCAGAAAATATCATTGTGTGCTGCAGCATTAAGAGCCACTAATCTGTGTCCACATACTTTTGGCCATATAGCAATGGTGGAATATAATACTTGAGTATTTCCATTACATGCTGGAAATATTGTACTTTCTAACAGTTACATATGCAATATAATGCATTGAAACCAACGAGGTGGAAATAGTTCAACAGCAGCAACGCTTTATTTTACTGTATTTCATTGTTATTTTTTAGGATATTCCTGTAAATATGTACGTGGAACATAAGGTGTTGAACTGAGCTGAAGCCCAATACTAACGTTTAAAAGTGTAATGCTCAATTTTCAATGCAGATCTTTTTGGAGTATTTTGTGTGGTGTAATGTTCTCCACAACTGGCACATGTGACAGAACAGAGAAGAAGAAAGAGAGGTAAAGGACAAAAGAGCGAGAGAGCTGCAGAGGTAGGAAGAGAGAGAGAGCGAGGAGGAGGAAAGGTTGAAAGATACTGAGAGAGAGCAGGAGAGAGGAAGAGAACAAAGCTGAGCGCTCAGAGAGAAGAAGCGAGAGTCGAGGTAGAGCAACAAGGCTGCAGAAAAAGGAACAGAATTAAGAAAATAAAAGGGAAACTCAACAGCCTCGCTGATGATCATCCACCATCTTTAGGGAACTAAATCTGAGAGAGAGAAAGAGAGAGACAGAAATAAATCCATCACCATGATGAAGTTGTGGAGTCGCCTCTGCTTCCTCGGTGAGTTTAGCTCAACTGTCAAACCTACTTTCACATGTACTTTTATTTATGTTGCTGTTTTTGTTTTGTTTTTTTAGCAATAAACCAAGATAAAAAGTAGATTTATTTATGAGTAAGAAAAGCAGAAGAGAAACATTAAATCTGTTTTTAGATCAGGGCTCCCGCCCTCACTTGCAGATTGTTTTCTCGTCAGTTAAATCAGGCGCTGTTTTCACTCCTGACTGTCTTGATTCTGCTAAAACTCCCGTTTCAGTTGCTTCCAATGCCAATGATTCACTCACCGAAGCTTTCAAAGCCTTGATCTTTTCTATTTTATGTCTTAAATCTATATTTGCATGCACTTTAAGGGTCATTCAAGGACTTGGGTACCCCTGCCCTCTTTATACAGGAAGTAAGGAGCACACAATTGCCACATTATAAGTTAAAATTATGGGAAACCACATTATTTATTTTTACTTGTTTTTTTCCAGTGGTTCAATAACACAGCATTGTTCATTCTACCATAAATGTGTCTAATGAAGTTTTATTTTTCTATTCAACATGACACTGAACATGTGTCTCAATATAGTAAATATATCCTCATATTTAAGTTACTGTATGAAGGCAGCAAACAATCCATTAATGATCCATTAATAAATAAATAAAAATAAAAAAATCTGTTTTAAGACATAAAATATGAAACTGTGTAAGTGAATTAGTATTTTTCTTGCTGCGTGTATTTATTACAATATATAAAACATAAGGTAGACAGTTGAATAAGCTTCAGTCGAAGGTCAGAGGTCACAGTACCTGGAATATATGTATAAAGTATGTAATTAATACACTTCAGTATTCTATGATCTTTTATCTGTCATTGCATTTTCACACCAACGTTTTCACACATATGAAAACCTGTTGCAGCAGCAGCAGCAGCAGCAGCTCTGTGAAGTAAAACTTAGTGGTCAACAAGTATCATCTACCTCTTAACTATAACTGGTTATGTTCAAGTAAGTGCTGGACTAAGACACGTGATGCTTTAGCTCACATTAAAATTAAAGTCCTTGTACACACACACAGTGTATTTCCACTGGTGTTTTCCGGTGACTTTACATAAATCTCAGCATGGCTCTGCCAAACTTGTCTTATGTTTCTCCCTTCATCATTTTCTCTTTCTGTCTCAGTTCTAGCAATTTCTTCAATTTCCAGAGGACAACTCGATTCAACTTCTGATTCATCACTTAAGGAAGGTACGGTAACGACACACCTGATTAACACATGACCTACTGTGGACCAGGGCGTGTTGTGTCCTGTCACGCACTGCACTGCAATGACAGCGAGGTCGGACAATAACCTGACCATGGAGTACATCTGTACATTTGTACTCCCTGTAGCCTTCAGTGTACCGTCAGATTTGATCTATCTTTGCCTCAGTCAGTTAAAAGCTGAGATATATCAGCATTTCTTTAAGCTTTATAAACAAACGCAAATATTTACTGTATTGTCTTGTTCCTGTCCATACTGCATTGCCAGTGGTAATTCTAGAGTCCAAAAATTGCCAGGGGGCCCTTCCACCAAGAAAAACTGTCCAAAATTTAACATTTTTCTTCATTTTGAATGTTCAGATTCGTAGAATTTTCTAAATATAAAGAACATGAAAAACATTGTAATTTTCAAAATATGATATATTATTAAGAACAATAAAAACCTAAATAAATAACTTAAACACTGTCAGATTGTAAATAACCCACATAACCAGTACTCATCGACACATAAGGTCCCTGTAAGGAGAGTTCCTACTGGGTGGTGTTGGCAATTTAGTGATTTTTTCGCGAGATTTGGCGACTTTTAAAACCTTTATTTACTCTTTTTTTTTTTTTTATAAAATCAACTGGTGGCATATCTACAGACTTTGTGGACAGACCTTATCTCCTCTCGTTCTTAGTGGAGAAGCTCTGATGTGGCTCCGAACTGACGGTGTTCAGTGGGCGGGACCGAGCAGCAGCACGTTCAATTGACCAAGCAGCAGCCAGACAGTGAATGAGCTGTGAATAGGCGTAGCTAACGACCAATCGTCGATCCCCATTGTGTTTATTTTAAAATGGGGCCCCTTTAGGGAGGTTTCCTACACAGATGTCGTTGCAAATTCATACCTGTCATTGCAGGTAATGGTTCTGCTGTACTGTGTTAGATAGCTGTGCTGCCATGTCACACCATTACCACGCGAATCGTAGCCATGGTGACAGTGCCCACATCCGCATCTATCATGTATTGCTGTTTAGAAGACATCTGGCTGATTGTGTGTATTTCCTCTATGTCTGACACAGGTTCCCCTGCCCCCAGGACTGACAACCCATATAACCAGTCACTGAATGAAACTGAAAATAACTCTACCAACCCCACGGAGGCCTCCCCCCCTTTTAAGACTACTGTCTCAGAGAATGCAACAGATGATCTTTCAACAGACAGTGAGGTAAGAACTAGTGCCAACCTGAGCCAATGACCTTCGAGTCGTACCTCTGTACCTGTAACATGCTACCAGTCAAAAGCTTGAAACCAACTCTTATCGGTGGGAAAGTTAAACCCAGAGTGCAACAAAATACCTGATGTTATTTTCTCATTACTTAAAATGCCATACTAAAATATACAAGTGGCTTTTATTTCATATTTAAGAAGTTTATCTTAGCATAAATTAAGATGTTGTAGCTCGTTAGGGTTAGAAGATTATTTAAAATGTCAAACATCAAATTAATCTGGAACAGTTAAATATTTAAGTCAAATATGAAGCAGTCTTAGTGACAATAAATCAACATTATAAAAATATGTAAATAAATATATAATGGTTACTAATTCCTCTCTAAAAGGGATGACCTATCTCACACAAGTTTAAATTCCTCTGGAGCTTAAAGGAATTCAATGGCTTCCTGTAAAAAAATATTTATACAACCAAAACCATTGGAAAAAATAAATAAATAAATACATACATACATACATACATACAGGACACACTGTGAAACAACATATTTAAAGCTGATTTTAAAAGAAATCAACCTCAACATGATGATACAGTATACAACTAAATATATTATTCTCTAAAGTACTGCAGCTGGACCTGACTGATGGAAATCAATCCGATCAGGCCAGACAAGCTTATCTGAATTAGAAACTGCTGTCAGTCAGTCAGAGTCATATTTACTTATACAAACTGTGATCTTATGTCTTTTACAGACTACGGAAAAAACAAGGAAGGGAGACGAGGATGACAGTTCGTTTAACACAACAGTGGGAGGCGGTGGCACCACAAAGGCACCTGTTACAGCCTTGGACAGCACGACAGGGAGCGTGAGCGAGGGCGCTGGAGTTGGCAGTGTGACAGTTTTTCAGGCGACCTCATCAAAGCCAGGTACCTGACTGTCACGGATGCAAAAGGCAGCTTCACGAATTGCGTGCCTCAGTTTGTCTTCCTGTGTGTCAAACCACAGCTATCACGTGCTCATACTCTCTGGCGTCTACACAATCGCATGCACTCTAACACATTCACACTCATCTGACAAACCATCAAACACACATATGTTCAGACGCACGCCCAACGGCTGGTGGGTCACTTTTGCACATGCAAAGTGCACATACACTCAGCTTTTCTGAACGTTGGTTTTTCAATAGCAACCAGTCAAGTTTAAAATCGATAACGCCAAAATAAGAAGTTGGGAATTTGTTAAAAGCAGACTGTAACCTAGAGAGAGCCTGATTTGCAGTTGACATAGAATATGGTATTGTCTGTGTAAAAACACTGCAGTGCTCACTTGGAAAATGGATATTGTTTCTGCATGAACTAAATAACAAGTGTTAATATTATTCCTTGTGGGACAACTTTATTAACAATCTGGAGATTTAATTTGAAGCAGTCATCAACAACTATCCAAACTGACTGTCAGGTCAGATGGCTAAAACCTTTAGAAAGCTGTCTTTGTTGGACAGCAATAGTGTAGATACAGACAGGAAACATGGGGAGATAGAAGGTGGGGTATGTCATGTTGTTATGTCCCCAGCTGAAATCAAATCTGGGACAATTAACCACAAGGCCACAAGGACATCCTTCCCACTAACTAACTAATAATATCCAGTCTGCTCTGTTTGAACATCAGAATGTAATCTCTTAAATGAAGGGGGTTTGGAAGTTTTGATGGACTCTTAATTAATATTAAAATACCTTAGTTTGTCATTTTTTTTTCTGTTCTCCACTAGAGGGCATGCACAGTGACACCATGAAATGACTGAGTGTATTTGTTTGAATGTACTGAGCAGTAATCAGTTGTCTGTCTCTTTTCATAACAGAGGAATACGCGAGCGGTTCATCCTGGGGTAAGGAAATTGTATTATGATTTTTAACCTTAAGCAGCATGTTCTATTGTATTCTGCTTTGTTTTGCTGTAAATATTTTCTTTTTCTCACCGCTTCTGCTACAGCTACTATCAGACTGACTTATCATAATTTTACATTATAGTTTTTTTTCTCTTTAAATTCACAGAAAATCCCAGAATTATGACTTAACCAGTTCTTGAAGTTATGACATACATTTTTTTTAATTTTGAGATAATAGGTCTGACATAGAAGATACACAAGTAATAACTTTGAGAAAACATGTCTAATTCTATATTTCTTTTACACAATGCCATTTAATATGGAGGCCCAAATGTTCAATATTAAATAAATAAATTAAACAAAGTTTGTTTTTTTTTTTTTTTAAATCAATTTGTGCAAAATACATAACAAATTTTAATTTTAATTAATGATATTATTATCGTCATTATCATTGATTATTTCAAGTTTTGTTTTGGTTTTTTTTTATTTCACAATAAAAGTTTTATTCAATCCTATTTTATTTCCTAAAGTCACTTTTTTTGAAAGCAACATGTCCCCACTCTTACAGTGATATTGAACACTTGCTCCATTCTTTCATAGTAATCAAATATATTTGTCTAATATTTGTTTTAACTTTTTTTTTAACTATGAAATTGTTTCAATTATCTACATACCTTTATAAATCTATACTTCCTTTCAAATCCATTAGGTAACGCCAACCCCAACCCTAACCCTAACCCTAACCCTACTACCCCTGCTAATAAAACTGACAAAGCTCTCTATCTCTATCTTTATCTCTCTCTAGGTTATGTGATCCTGGTATTGATCATCCTGGTGATCATTGTCCTGTGTGTCATCCTCTACTTCCTCAGGAGAGTCTCCAGGGTAGGGGAACAATACATAGAGATGGAGAGATTATTTTTTGGCGTCATTTCCTTTAAAATACATATTTTACACCCACTCACTGTATCATGTTACAATGAAGATAGTTAACAGATGCTCCTGTGTGCCACATTTTAGCTTACTTGTTCATTTGTGTTTCCAGACATATTCATTTGACCTTCAGCGCCCAAATCCCATCATCAATCAATTCAACGAACCCACTGGCACCTTTGAACCAGTCTACCTGGATGACCTAGGTGTGTTTGTGTGTGTGTGGTTGCATTTAAATTACGAGGACTATATAAGGCTATAAGACTATCCTGACTTGTGTGCGTTGTATCTCAGAGCGACCTGCGCCTAAAGAACAAGTGACCACCAATGACCTTTCAACTCCTCCAGTAAGCAACGGCACGAGTCTACAGTCGGAGGAAAAGGGCTGTAATGGAGAGAACGGTACGAAATTAAATTCTTCTTTTGGTGCTGTGTCGAGTATTTAGTATCATAAGTCTCTAAAATCAAAGAATCTCTTGACATCAAACTGAATCTTGCCCTCCATAAAAAAAAAAAAAAAAAAAAAAAAAAAAAAAGATAAAATATGAATCTCGCAGGGATCCACACTTTTCAATTAGCTTTTTGTCAGTTTTCAAAATGACTGTGGTCTAAAATCTTCCCAAGCCTTACATTCGATCAAGTTGTGATGTTCTGTACTAGACAAAAACTTAAAAAGGTTTATCAAGTAAAGGACAGAAAAGACGACAAAGTTCTCAAGTCCTTAGCAGAATGAAGCAGAATTCAACATTAATGATGTTTTGACTGCCTCAGAGAACTTCAGCTCTCATTTAAGTTTGTTCCTATGCTTGAATGCAACCGTGTTGCCCAATGTGCACGGAACATTTCCCATCGTCACATTCATCAAGTCTACATCTTTTCAATAACTCTGGATCTTACCTTTTCTTCTCTTCCCATTTGGTCCACATCTCCAGATCCACAGGAAGAGCCAGATGCAAATGGTCTGGAGACTTCGCCCACCAGTAACACCAGCCCCTCATCAGGCGATGACCCAGCTGACAAGACGTCCAACTCACCGAGCAGCACCAACCTGTTCTTCGATGCTATTGGGGAGACACAGCAGAACGAAAACAACAACAACCCATGTAAGATTATTCATATGGATACTGACACAAATTATAAAACAAAAATCATCATTGCACTTCTATAAAGCTGTGGGACTTGCAGGGCAGTTTTAGGAATCATGAAATGCAAAGAAATGCTTGTCTGTCAAGAAATAGCTATTTCATTGTTTAAATCACAAAGATATAAAGTGTATATTTTGCTGTATATTTTGCATCTTTGCTGGAGCTAGGTTAGCTGTTTCTCACCACTTTGTGCTGTGTGTATTTCATTAAATGTCTTTGGATAATTCAAATCTCATTATAATACTTGTGTCTGTATTGTCTTTAGGCATTTTCTCCACTGACCCATTTGTTGAAATAAACCTGGACGAGCCAGCGTGGTGCAATCAGTTCCTCACCTCTCCTGAAGCTACCTCTTCTGTCCTCCCCTTCTCTCCTTTCTCCTTCTCCTCCTCCTCTTCTTAGCACCTTCACCGATGACTCTAAGATCAACATGGAGGCTGTGTCTTTGAAACACCTTCAAGACATCAACAATGTTCTCTTGTATTTACAGTCTGCTCCCGGCTAGTTTGAATCTTTTGTCAGAGAACAGCATATAAATCTCAACCAAAAAGCTGTAAATACAAAGCTAGCTTGAACCATTTTGTTGTGGTTTGTTTATATGCGTTCTCCACTTCAAACTGAGCAGTCTGGTAAAGTTTAATGTTTTTCTAAATGGAGGTCACATAGTAACCTTCTTGTTCTCAGCTCTGGTTTCTATATCATAATAATGAGTCAAACAACAGTCTGCTCATTTAACCAGAACTAACCGTTAGCTAGCTAACTAGCTAGCCAGAGTAGTCAAATTATCCTCATTCAACCCCAGACGGAAAGATTATTTGTGTGCATTTTGCATTGTTTAACTGACCTCTATGACTTTCAAAGAAGAAATATTAAGTCATTTCAAACATCAGTCATTTCCTGACCTGCTCACCACCTGGGCCTGTGCCTATTGGCCTGTTGGGTAATCTCAAACTACAAGAATGTATTGCTAGCAAGCTATTATAAATCTGTCTCCTATGTAGCTGTGGTATCACCCTGACTAAATGGTATTTTAAGTGCCATAGTTACTGTAAATATATTTCCTATATAATATATTTTCAGTAACTCGGAAATGCTGTAAAACACATATACATTCATACATATTTTAAATCTGAATTTTGTGAGGTTGTGAATGTCTGTGTATAATACTAGAAATTGATAGTCTTTATGCCTTTGTGTTTTAACTTGCAATATTTTTAGTATTTGTTTATACCTAGATTTCTTTGTAGAAAATAACAGAAGACAAATTAAAAATACATTTCATTTTGTCTCTGTTTTCAATCAAACTGACTTAAATATGTAATTTTCTTTATAGATTTTTTTTTTGTGACAGGATGAAATAGCTTCAGGTAAACCTTTACTTGGATGTTCATTGTTGAATAAATGAAAAACTTTTAACAACTACTGCAAAGTGTTGCCCCTGTGTTTTATTATTTTGTCTTCACTTAACATGTAGCCAGTTTGCATTCACATCTAGCTCTGTACCCGCTGTAGTAATAGTATTAACCCAATGTTAAGTCATTTTGCTGGCTAATTAGCTAGTTAACATGCTAAGCTAACAAACCAGGTATGCTACGCGTAGGCATCCATACCAGCTAATTAGTGTTAAGTGCTAAGAATTTCACTTACCACGAAAGACAAGAGCGAGTCTTCATCAATTAACCGCACAACCGCCATATTCCTTATCCGACATCGTCATAAAAAATCCTTCATTAGGCACCAACACCACAAAAACGGCCGAGACCTAGCTAGCAGGTGGCGCGAAGTGATGGCTAACCGTCAGTTAGCAGCTAGCTAGAATCCGAGCGGCCAGCCAACAGTGACGGGACGTTTTATTTACAGTCCATCAGTGCAGTCCGTCAGGAAGCCGGTGCATAGTGACTTCGGTTATCAGGTCAGATCCACACCTCTCTCTCTCCTCCCCAGCTCCACCCTCTCCTCCAAATATGTTTTTTTTCTGGTTTAAAAAAATATACCAAGATGGCGACGGCCAAAAACGCCAACTCGAGGCTTCAAGACTGCGAAGCGGCAGTTCACGAACTAATGCGTGACGTCACGGTGGGTTGGACCAAAATGTTGTACCTGGAAGCAGCTAACACACATTCATTTAACCTTCATCTCAAAATATTTCCATATTAGACAACGTTTAAGCCACTGTAATTTTACCTTTAATGTACTTTTTTTTAACGTGTAAATAAATCCACTTTCATTGCTATGACTTGTGTGAAATGAGCAGAGTCAGCATTGGATGATTGATTGGCTATTGATAGTAGTGCTGAATCTCACTCTGTGTCGCAAAATGGTAAATGTTTGAGTTATAAATTGTTTTTGTCAGCAGCAGTTTTATTTTGGTGAACAGAGAAGGGAAAATTCAGTAGTTGGGTAAAGTCAATTCTGATAAATGGTCAGCAGGGGGAGCTCTTGGCCTGCACCTCAGTCATAAGACTTAGGTATTGTTTTCACTTGCGTTTTGTCCATTCTAGGTGAACATGTAGATGAGTGTCTTTCACAGACACTAGAAGGTGACCTTTTCATCAGTAACAGATAAAAAAGGTGAAGTTTTGTGCAGTTGTGTGAAGAAATATTCTGTTCCTTTACCCACTGTAGCTGCTGCTGCTGTTGCTGTTGTCAGCCCCAGTCCAGTGTAGAGGACGATCCTTCTGGTTCTGGTCTCTCAGGTCTGGGCTCAACAACAGCAGATGTAAAGGATGTTGAAAAATACAATTGTGTCTCTGACAGTCTTAGTAAATATAGAGCTGAGAGGCCAAACTCCATCAAGTCTAGTTAGCAGCATAGTCTGTACAACACTGAACCATTTATACAAAGAGTTCCGCAGAATCTACTTACACGAGACATGGAGCCGATATTTGCCAGAGTTCCTCCCATATTTTCTATATTCTCTCTTCTCAGGTCATGATTTTATTTTACTATTTGTATATTTATGTAATTAATACATCTTTTAAATGAATGTTGTTGGACTTCTTTTATGTTGTCACTTATCTTTATGCGCCTGTAAAAGACCAGTATTAATAAAGTTTATCATTAGACATCACACACAGAAGAGTCAGAACAACTTCTCTCAAATTTATTATTTTAATTGTTAACAATATATTCAAATTATAAACTTTACATCAGGAAAGCTGATTTTGTATTGTAACAGTTTCCACCAATAGTCAATAGATAAAAGATTTAATAATAATAATAAAGTGCCAAGCCGGTGAATGAAGTGAAGGCGGACTGGCTCCAAATCTAATTATTTACACTGAAATGAGTTGTTGATGCTGTAATGACTCAATTTTAACTCTACACCAAAACAATATAAACATTATATAACACAAAAATATGAACTTCATGTCACAGATAAATCTTTGACTCAGGTCCTGTCGTTATGATAGAGGAGAGGAGAAGTTCAATGATACTGAAACATACATGAAGAAAACACTTGAGGTAAAACAGGAAAGTGTCTGATGGTAAATGAGCACAAAGAGCTCCCTCTAGTGACCGTGCTCATTAACAACAGTGTTAACTCACAGCTTTTCTCTGGAGATTACATCCAATGAAAAAGTCGCATCACTTCCTGTGAGCTACTACAGGTTCATACCATCAGGTCAGGTGCATGATGGGTAAGTCAGTAAAAGTAGACAAGCTTCTCAGCATTATTTCATGAAGTGAACACAGTGCACGTTTCACATCTGTCTGACACAGTTTAACAAGGTGTCCTTTCAAAATAAGACTAGGTATAGATCTAGTGTATGACTGGACCGTGTATTGTTTCCACTGTAAAAGAAGTAATAGAAACTGTTCCCACCAAATCATTTTGAAAGAGCCAATGGGAAAAGTCCAACACTGGACCGACCAATGGTGTAACTTCATCACTCAGTCAGTCAGTCACAGACTTTACTGACCACTTTATTATTGGCTGGACCACATACCACTGTTGTGGTCCAGCCAATGATGGATGACAGTGTCCTGTGGCTCTTATAGTCACTTACTGAAGAAACTAAAGGGCAAAACAGTGTTTTCAGTGTCTGTGGTCCAAAGTTGAATTCTGACACTTTCACTTACTTTGTGGATCAAACTGTTTCTGCTGAGCTGAAACTTTCCTCAGGACGAATGAATAAAAAGAGTCAGAACAACAGCTGCTGTCAGTCCCAGTCCACAGTAGAGGCTGATCCTTCCCCGACTTGCTGTGTTTGGTTCTCCAGGTTCTGTCTCAGGTTCTGTCTGAGGTTCTGTCTCAGGTTCTGTCTCAGGTTCAGGCCGATCCCTCGCTGCTGCAAAGAGACCAAACAAATCTGGGTTGTTCATGTAAAGAAGCTTTTTTTTACTAATAAACAAAACAAAACAACAGCAACACAATAAAGTGGCACCGTTTAAAAACTGAGTAAGAACAGCAGGAGAAAGAGGAGAGAAGAGTGGAACCTCATCCGAGCTCAGAGCACACACACACACACACACACACACACACACACATGCATGCACACACGCACGCACACAGGGGTTCGATTCCCGGTCAGGGATCCAGTGTGGACCCTGTGATATATGACCTTAAGCAATGGACTTGGTGCTACTGACCTTCCTCACCCTTCTCTTTGAGAGAACAGTGTTGTAAAGAAACTTCTACTGGATCGACTCACCGAGACGCTGAGGTGACATTTGTTAAAGCTCCTCCCGTAATCTGTGTTGACTTCACAGCAGTACAGTCCTGAGTCCTCAGTCCTCAGTCTGGACACATGAAGTCTGATTCGTCCTTCTCTGAGGACGTCTTTGTCACACTGGACTCGTCCTGAAAACTGTTCATCCTGAGACTTTGGGGACTCAACACCCTCATGTAGATGATACAGGACTTTTGAGGCTTTGAGATCATCAGTAAAACATCTCACATAGAATATAAAGGAAGTCAGGTGGAGTGTGAGGTTTGGTTGTGAAGCTCCACTCCAGTGTGATGTTGTGGTTCTCCTCTGCCTGATAGGAGCTCTGTGTCACATTCACTACAAATGTTCCTGTTGAGGAGACAGAGAGGGAAAGTGAGGAGCAGACTAACTGAGGACTTGTATCAGTTTCTAGATAATAAAGTGAAGGAGTAAACTAACCACAGACACAGGAGGTCAGTGTGAGGAGCAGCAGGATGCAGCAGATCATCTTCTCCCTGTGAGAGGAGACAGAGCTGAAGAGTCACAAACACATTTCCTGTTCAAAGATGTAATTTAGAGCTTCACTGACTTCAGAAGTCACAATGTGTCAGTTTGACTCCAACAGTGAGTGAGGACAGTTCAGAGGGACGATGAGATCAATGTGATGTATTTGATGAACATGTCAGCAGCATTTTAATGCTAACACTAACTGTTTACTGTCAGGTAGTTTCATCTACAACTCTTTCATCACCTGCTGTTTCATACACATCTTCATTTTCACAATAAACAGCAGATAAAACTGAATAAGAACAGCAGGAGAAAGAGGAGAGAAGAGCTCAGAGCACACGCACGCACGCACGCACGCACGCACGCACGCACACACACACACGCACACGCACACGCACAGACACACAAACACTCACACACACAATCAGGACCAACATTATATATAGATCAGAAATACTCAATACCTCAGGTAACAAGACTCAGTTCAGCTCAGTGGTCGACACTACTGACTTTGGCACGGGAGATCGCGGGTTCGATTCCCGGTCAGGGATCCAGTGTGGACCCTTGTGGATATATGAACCCTTAAGCAAGGCACCTGGTGCTACTGACCTTCCTCAGGACGAGTGAGACCACAAAGAGCTCGGATGTTGCCCAGGTTAATAAGCTCTGAGTCAGGTGTTGGGGAAACAGGTGTGGCTCAATGAACGTGCTACAGTTACAGGAGAGGAGGAGGAGATAGCATCATCTCATCATTATCATCCTCTCAACAATATCCAAACAAACAACAAAAAGTACCTACCTCAGTAGTCTCTTCCTCTTCTCCTGCTAAGTACGAACTCCTGTGTGGATATATGAACCCTTAAGCAAGGGTCGTATATAAGCTACCAAGCTACTTCCTACTTCCAACGGGTTCAGACAGGTTAAAACTCTGAGAAATGCTCACACTCAGGTATGCCCAGACCTGTTGTGACTTATTGCACAAGTTCCCCAGCAGTTAATAAAAAAACCTGTTTAGTTCCAAAGAAAAAGACACCTCTCCAAGTTCAACAAAAGCACCCCCATACAAATGATGGGGGTTATAATCTCCCATAGGTGTTCAGTTGGCTTTAGATCTGGTGACTGTGAAGTTCAGAGCATAAGACTCACATCATTTTCATTCTCATCAAACCATCAGTGACCCATCATGCCATCCTCCTGATTCTCTAAGTTTTCAGGTTTTTCCTTTAATCTGTCACCTGTCTGATGACAGATGGCTTT